CCACAGCTGAAATTGATGGCATGGCAGATAACATCACTGGCTTTTCCTCCCGCGTAGCGAACGTCCTCTTGAATTCCAGGAAGCCTACTACGCGGAGGTCTTACAATTATAAATGGCGAAGGTTCTGTTCTTCCCTAGGTGATGACGCCCCTCGAGCCACCTCAGTGGGTCTCGAAAGAATTTTCCGATTCCTCCTCTCCTTAGCTGACTCGAGACTTTCCCATTCATCGTTAAGAGTTTATTTGGCCGCTCTCTCGGCCTTCCACGTTCCATTTGACGGATGCACTTTGTTTTCTCATCCGATTTCCAAATGATTTTTAAAAGGTTTGTTACACTTCTACCTTCCTGTCAAAACTCCAGTCGCTCCCTGGGACCTTCCTCTAGTTCTACGCCAGCTCACGAGGAAGCCCTTTGAGCCGCTTGCTACATGTGACCTCAAACTCCTCGCATGGAAAACGGCCTTTTTAATTGCTATCACATCGGCAAGGCGAGTTGGAGAAATATTGGCTTTCCGACACAATACACCTTACCTATCGTTTCTGCCAGACGGAGTCCACCTCGTCCCGGACATCTCCTTCCTGCCGAAGGTGGTGTCAGAGTTCCACCTGCAGGCAGAGGTCTTCCTCCCTGATTTTTCCCCAAATCCAACATCAGCGGAAGACAAAGTACTCCACACCTTGGACGTGAAGCAGGCTCTCCTGTTCTACCTCAATAGGACACGCCCGGCTAGACGAGATTCAAAACTGTTCGTCTCTTACGCGTCAGCACGACTGGGTACTCGCATCACGGCCCAGCGTCTGTCAAAGTGGATTGTGGGTCTCATCCGTCTGTGTTACCAGATCGCCAAACAGCCATTGCCTGGCCCTATCAGGGCTCATTCTGCCAGGGCTGTCGCGACTTCCACTGCCTTCCTCCAGGGAGTGCCACTGACGGACATTTGCAAAGCCGCTACGTGGGCCACGCCTAATACCTTCATAAGGCACTACACCGTAGACGTCCATACGAACACCAATACCAACATGGGACGTCACATTCTGTCTTCGGCTACGCAGTAAAAGACCTGCCAGCACCTTCCTCCAGGTAGGCTACTGCTCGCTAATCTCCCATGGGTGTGAAGCACAGAGACCACATTGAAGATAAGCAGGTCACTTACTAGTAACTGATGATCTTCGAGTGGTCATCTGTGCATTCACACCACCCGCCCGCCTTCCCCGCTGCTGTCAGCTTCTACATTTTTAATAGGGGTTGATTTGCGACAGTTTGTAGGAACTGACGGGATGTCCGCGCCCACCTCTCTGGCCATGCGTGGTGGGGTTCCTGTGCATGCCCGAAGGACTGGGTGCGAAAATCTGTTAAAAGAGCTTGCTACAGCACCGATCAATCCAGCGCATGCGCACTAGATCCCATGGGTGTGAATGCACAGATGACCACTCGAAGATCACTAGTTACTGGTAAGCAACCTGCTTTTGCCATGCACGAGGGGAGCTGTGTCAGGCCACAAAAAGAGGATTTCCAATTAAATGATTGGAGGTACCTGAATGACATGTGGGTTCTACTTCACACAGCAATAAGTGTTCCTGCACAGATCTATTCTGTGTCGGCACCAATGTGACAGGAGGTACATATTAATCTGGCCTGTGTTGTCCTTGCCTCAAGTAGTTTGATTTGTCTTCAAGACATTTGTTAAAAGAAGGAAAGAGAAACACTTCTAACTATGATGGTTTGGTTCATATTCTTGGTTAGGAATGGCATGAACCGTGAAAATGTGATTTGTTTCCGTTTGTGGTGTGCCTGGTTTGTGAGCCATGAATCATCACAAACTTTTAGGTGCCAAACAAACTGGTGAGGTTTGTGACACAATAGAATCCCCCCCCCCCAGTATGCTAGAGAAACTAAACTTTCAGGGGATCTCTGGCTGACTCTATTCTACCTGCCACCCAGGTTTTGTGAGGATTGGATTTACGGGGTCCAAATTACAGCCCCCCCAAAGAAGTTGCGCAGTTCAATGAAGCTGTGGGCTATGCCGTGAAGGGCCACCCAAGACGGACAGGCCACAGCAGAGAACTACAGGAGGCAGCAATCACCACCATACCAAAGAAAAAGAAATGCAAGAAAGCAAAATGGCTTTCTGATGAGGCTTTACAAATAGCAGAGGAAAGAAGGAAAGCGAAAGGCAAAGGCGAAAAGGAAAGATTCCCGTTGCTTTGAAGTTTGGTAAACATTTAGTGGAGACAGTCTGTCTTGAAATGTATCCATTCATGAACCTCTTGAATGTTCTTGGAAAGTTCATGCTGGTTGACCTGCTATGAACTTCAGTTCATGAACCACAAATGGGCCAAAATTCATCACAAACTTTAGTTTGTGAGCCGGTTTGTTCCATCCCCATTCTTGGTGACTTTGCAGCGAAGCAGAAGATTGAGACTAGTGAGGTGTAAAGATGAAACCTGCACATAATCATCATTTAAAAATCAACATAATTCCGCCCCCCCTCCCTGGAATGTAAATTCTCCTCATAGTCAACTAAGGATAAGACAGTCTGTCTTTATCACCTCTCAGTTATCTTCCAGGAAACATTTCTTTGTGTTAATGTGGTCATTCATGCTGGAGCTACCGTCCTCCATACCCATAAGATCCATGTTATGTAAACGGCTTAGTGGGGTGTCTGCAGGAATAAACCTTTCAGAACAACTCCTTATTGCCTCTTAACTGATCATTAGCAGCTGGAATAGACTGATTTCTTATGGATTGTGGCTTAAATAATTACCTGATACTCTGAGCCATTAAAAAACAGTTAATGAATAGTGGGGGGATCCATGAGGAGACTGTGGAGATACATACAGCTAGCTGAGAAATGTGATGTCTTCCATGGAAAATGGCACTTTAGATTTTGCTGCCTGGGGGAGGAGAAAGGTTTGACAAAACAAATCACCAAGGGAGGGCTTTAATAAAATTGTATAAGGTTCTTCTTTGAAATAACTGTTGACAGCTATTTAGCCACCGCAATGAGGTTTAATAAGTACATTTTTTATTATATCGATTCTTCAAAAGCTTTAGAGATCCTCATTCTCCTTTTCTTTTTAATGATACTAATTATATACCATAGTGTACCAAAGGGAAGATACTAATAAAGGCCCAGTGCTTAAAGGGTATTGCAGACCCCTGAGAGTGTATCTTTATTCAGGAATGTTTGACCCAATGGGCAAACAAAAAATCAAATTTGCCAACGTAGGTTAAAGATTATGAAGATTTAGAAATAAAAGGGAGGTGGGCTTCCCCCCCCCCAAGAAAAAAGAACATAGGTGTTTCAGAATAGCAAATGTCCCATTGAAAGTTGATAGAGTTGTTCATTTTTGTAGGTCATCTCAAAATCACAGGCTCTGTAATGTAGCTGGGGGTGGGCTTTCTTACCTCCCACTTTACTCGTATTACAAAAATCCAAAGACTCTCATTTCTGTAAACTCTTCCAGATCATAATCATTTTATTTACTGATAGCTTTATTCAAAGGGCCAACTGACACTTTACTTCTTCTGGTAAAAGGTTCTTTGCCATGTCAGGAACATTTGAACATAATGTCTGTGACAAATTTGAAGACTTTTCCCTCTAGGTATCTTCTAACAGAAGCCAATAAATGGCTTCATAATTCTTGACATTACAAAAAAGTACACTTTTTTCTAACACAGCTTGCACTGATTTTATTTCCTGTCATTATGGCATTTTGATAAAAGGATTTGACTAAATTGTACAGTGGTAATATAGATGTACTACAAGAATAAGTATAATATCATGACTCATTGAAATTCTTCTTCACTAACTTCACTACTGTTGCTAGATCAAGGCTTGTGGATGTATCACAAGAAGGATATTGTACAACAGGGAACACCAGTTTGGTGTAGTGGTTAAGAGTGGCTGACTCTAATCTGGAAAACCAGGTTTGATTCCCCACTCCTTCTCATGAAGCCAGCTGGGTGACCTTGGGTCAGCCACAGTTCTCTCAGAGATGTTCTGTCAAGAGCCGTTCTCTCAGAGCTCTCTCAACCCCAGCTACCTTACAGGAGAGAGGAAGGGAAGGTGGTTGTAAGCTACTCTGAGAATCTGAGTGTACGGCAGGCTATACATCCAACTCGTTCTTTGTCCAGACCCATTTATACCTAGTGAATTCAGTAGGACATGAGATTAGATGTATTGAGGCCCCTGCCACACGGCAGGGGAAAACTAGCTCAAAGCGCGGCTTCTAAAAGCCGCACCAAAGTTGAGACGCCGCGGTGGGATCCCCTGAGCCACGGTGCCTTTTCTGCCAGGTAGAAAGCTACGGTGGGAAGGGGAGGCTGGCGAACTGCGCATGCTCACACATGCGCAGTTTGGCCAGGGGCCGGGGATGCGCCGGCGATCCCACGGCCGGGCTTGGGGCGCACTTCTCAGATGAACCAGCAGGTAGGTAGTTCTGTTTTGGTGCGGGGTTTTGGGTGGAAGGGGCGGATCGGGGACACAAGCAGCACGATTCCCAGATGTTGCTGTGGGATCGTGCACGTTAGCTGCATCCCCGTTCCGTCCCTCTACCAGCCCAAAACCTCTTGTGTGACCGGGGCCTGAGAAACATAATCTCAGCAAAATCAAATTAATAATCCAATGTGGAAGTAAAAATATCATGAGTAGGAATGTAACATGTAAATAAATTCTTTCTCAGTGTCTGAATAGCCAGGGAGGAATTATTGGTGGTATTTATCCATATTCTCAGGAAAGGTGAGCAGTCCCAAACAGAAAGTAATGGGGATATAGGCCTTTTAGCACCCCTCAAACCCTGGAATTGAGTCACTGGGCTTGCGCATAAAGTGCTAAATGATTTAAGTGACCCTAATTCAGCATTATAACAACTGCATCATACTTACTGTCAAAACAGTGCAGTGATCTTGTTGTAAAAGTGATTGTGGTTGATGAGATCTTTGAAATGGCTTCACAGGACTACTCATACTTTTGCTCTTGGTTTTTTCTCCTGTTGTAGTGTTCCATGCCTTCCTGCATCACGGCCTTCCACGTAACATGCGCCTTTGAACACAACCTGGACATGCGGACACTTTTAACAGAGAATGATGAAGTGAAGTTCAAGTCGTTCTGTCTCGAGCATAGCAGCAATGCCACTAAGCCACCAGATCAGGTACGGACAGAGGCAGATCAAGGCAAACTGGACATGGAGAAGGTAACACTGAGAAAGCAGAAGCTCCAGCAGCTAGAGGAAGACTTTTATGACCTTGTGAAGCCCTCAGAGGTGGCGGAGAACCTTGATATGACTGAGTGGCTGGTTGATTTTGTCTATCAGTACTGGAAAATGAAGAGGAAAGCCAATTACAACCAGCCCTTGATGATGCCCAAAACAGACGAGGTGGACAATTTGGCTCAACAAGAGCAAGATGTGCTGTACCGACGCTTGAAGCTTTTCACACACCTCCGGCAGGACCTTGAAAGGGTGAGTAGAATTGCTAGTTTAGCAGAATTTCTTGCTACACTTCCAAGACTAACTAAACAGATGCCGGCAATTCTTTACCTCCACTGGCCAAGTCAAATTTCCCTAAAAATCGTTTGCTTTTATGTAGTCTCCGGGTATCACTTCAGTTGTGAGGATTGATTTCTATATGTATTTTTGTTTCTATTCAAAACAATCACAAATATTAGGTCATGTAAAACGTGCTCTCAGGTTGCAACTGACTCGTGGTGACCCCATGAAGTTCTCCCTCTTGGGGGTTTTCAAGGCAAGAGCTGTGCAGGGGTGGTTTTCCATCACCTTCCTCAGCATAGCAACCCTGGTCTTCCTTGGCAGTCTCCCATTCAAGCATTAACAATGGCAGTCCCTACTTAGCTTTTGAGCTCTGATGAGATCAGGTTAGGCTGAGCTATTAGGACTGCTTCACGGATATTTCACATTGTAAAATATAAACAATGGTAGGATTCAACCTATCCCACGATTTCATTTTTCCTGTAGCTAAATGAGTGGATTTGTTTTCCTTTTAAAAAATGATTCCAGACAACCTGCTGTCTGTTGCAGGGCAACAGAACTGGGTCCAGTCCAGTGTTCCCTCTAAGCTGAGTCAGTGTGAGCTAGCTCACAGTTTTTTAGCCTCCGGCTCACACATTTTTGTCTTCGCTCAGGAAGGATGGCTTCAGAGCAAACTAATTTATGTAGTAGCCAAATCGCTCACTCACAACTTTAATGCCAGTGGCTCACAAAGTAGAATTTTTGCTCACAAGACTACACCGCTTAGAGGGAGCATTGGTCCAGTCCATGGTGAGAGCTATGACTGCAAGTAAAAATCTACTGGGCATGGCATGCCTGAGGGCTCAGCAGAAAAGGTTTCTTAAAAAAAATGCTTGTGGAGTCCCCTGGTTGTTCCATAGTGTAATGGAGGCACCCCGCCACAAACCTTTGGCTCTTCCTGAAGAATTAAAAGCACTTTTTTAGGATGATGGATACTCTTATAAAGCTGTTCTGTGTTTCTTCTTTTGTGATTAGTTTTAATAGCAGGGATGAGTTTGAAGGTGAGGCTAGGGAATGCTTTGACATCATCCTTTTAAAGGACTTGTGGATGTTAGTGAAGTCCCCCACAATAACAAAGTACCATGACAGAGCGCCACCTACTTTCTTTCCTTTTGGTTTCCCCCTGCTGTGCCATGTGCACTCTGTGCTGCTGTGTGCAAGACAGTAAAAGGAGATTTATTAGAGTCCTGCTCTCTCAAGTGCCACACTGCCAGCCCTCTTGGATTCTTGTAAATTTCTCTTTTTATGAACTGTGTGCACACAGGCACACACAAAAAGCACTGGCAGAATTAACTGTGAAGCTCCAGGAAGCATAAGAGACAGGAACGGTACGGCATAAACAACTCCAGAGGTAGAAGAGGTAAAACAAATTGCCTAGTGAAATAACTACCCAGACTTGTCCAGGGAGGAGAAAAGAAACATACAGAGAAGTAGGAAAAGGACACAAGTAGGACATGTGGGAATGAATGTACAAACAGATATGCCCAGGCAGAGGGTGTTTCAAGTGCCAGGCTACTGCCTTAATTGTACCAATCTCAAGGTCAAGGCTTTGCAAGGTTTGAATATACTGCAAATGGCTGGGCCTGTCTTGAGCTGAGAAAGATTGGCGGAGATGAAGAATCAAAGCATGTTATAAAAACAGCACATTCACTAGTTTGGCTCTTTCACCCATCCTTTCTGTGTATCTTTATTAATATGTACAGCCTGCTTTTCTACTGAAAACAGCAATATTTAATTTTATATGCCGCACCATCAATGTAGTCTTCATAATAAAGAGCTGTGTCCATCTTTTCTACCCTTAATAGGGCTGGAACTTTTCAGGACTTTATATAGTCATATGTGGTACTATTGGAAGTGTTCCATATCTAGATGATGAGGTTACCAATTTTCTTTTTAAGGGCTTCACAAGGAAGGCTTTCTACAAAAAAATTTTTGTTGCTGCATCTGTAGTGGCTTTGGACCTTCCAATACATTTAGTATCTTTGGTACCAGCTATTGTTACATTCTTAATAACATGTGCCATCTTGATCAAAACAGTACACAAATGTAATATACTTAGTAACCAGTTAATTGGTGTGAAACATTATCATGTGTATCCATCCTGTTAAAACTGAAGAGAATAACTACCTGCCTTGCAGTAGTTATTCAGCATTTTCTCCTTTTGCCTAGTTGGGACAGAAAACAGAGCTGGTAGGGGACTGATCCCTTTCCGCAGACTCCCAGCACATATAGTTAACAGGGCATGTTGGCTTGTATAAAATCCCAGCTACACAAAACTACCTTAGCATCACAAACAGGAAATGGTTGGATCAGTCTACTGTAAATTTTACCTGAATTAGGGTCATGTAAAGGAATCTTTTGTGGGCCTTACTGTCTGAGTAGATTAAGACTGCTTGTAGTCTATAGCAAGAGCCCTTCCCCCTTCTGATAGGTCCAGGTTTGCCCCCCACACAAACACACACTGCCCAGCTGCTGGGAATAGGAGGCTCTTCCAGAATTTCTGTTGCTACTTAGGCCTGGGACACCTTTAGTCCAGGACTAGATCATGAACTCTCCATTGCCCAAGGTGACCTTGGGAAGTGAAGCAGGAAACTGGCCAGGGAGGCTGTTGGTCAGCAAAGGTCGGGGGATCTCAGAGAAGCTGATGCATTCCACTCCAGATCAGCTGTTTTCAAAGAGTGTGTCTGAAAAACTGAGTCAAAAGCAGTGAAGAGAGATGAATTTTGAGAGCTGCTTGATATATTAAACATTCTGAATGGCATGCACATGAGGGATTTTAAGGATAAAAATGTGAATGTGGTGTGCGGCAAAGGTGAAAAAATCAGATTCTGTGCTAGGGACTGAAAATAAAACATTCAAATGTTATTGTATAGATCTCTATGGTGTGGCTACTTTTGGAATACTGTTCAGGAACACCTTCAGCTTTGCCCATGGTCTGGCCTAGGCTCCTGAAGTTGGAGGGCCTCCTGGCCTTGGCTTTCTGCCTTCCTTCCTAATATCTTGCTCTTGTGCCCCCTCCCCGGTCTCTTTTTTCTTTTCTGCCTATTATCTCTTGCTTCCTGGCCATTTCTGCTTTCTGCCACTTTTGCCTTGCCTCATGAGCTTGTCTTTTGTCCATTATGATGACATTTGTTCACATACAGAGGCTTTTCTCCTGCTATTCAGGGACAACTGTTGAAAAGTCTTGACTGCTCCTCTTCACATGGCTCCTTCTTCTATCTTTTTTCTTCTCCCTTTTCCTACCGCAGCTCTGACTGTGGTATGAAGTAACATTACTACATAGATCTCATAATGACATTTTATAATTGCTATATGATAACATCTTGTGGAACTGGGTCATTGGAAGGATTACAGATCTGGATGCCTTTTTGCAAGAGATGACTGCAGTATTGACTGCATCCTGAATCCCTGATGGTAGGCTTCATTGCATAATGCATGTAACATGTCACCATCTAGTGGGAAAATCCAAGATCCTCTGAGCTTCTGAACCATTATCAGGAATAGACCAACACCAGACAGACACATCACAGTAGTTTCTCCAGTGGTTCAGATCGTGGGACAGTCCTTACTCATGGGATAAGCCCCTCCTCCAATTGCAGTGTCGGCTCTGAGCTTTGATCCAGGCGGGGAGGGGCTTATCCCCTGGAAGTTTCCCAGTTCTTGCAGGACGTGCTTCAGCAGCACTTGCAAGTGCAACAAGCAGAAGAAGAGAGAAGAAGGAAGAAATTGAGCCACAGCACCTGTGCGTGCTAACTTCGGCAGCGGAGGAAGAGAGAGGGCGTTTTGGCACTGGGAGGTCCCTGGCTGCCGCAGCGCTTCGATGGCCCTCTGCGGACTCCCACCGGCCTTACCTACCCCCTGGGTGGAGGGCCTGCCACTTGGGGCTCCTCGGGGTGCAGTTGAGTCTGTGGTCCAGTGGTGGGGACGATGCCAATGAACCGGCTGGATCCCAGACCACAGGAGACACTGGAGAGTGGCTTGACGGTCAACACAAGACCTTGATCTTCGTCAGCGCTGCAGTGAGTCCCTCTGCCCCTTTAAAGTCCTCTCCCAGTCAGGACGGGCTTGTGGGTAAGGAGGGAGCATGGCTAGGGGGGCCTGGAGGACCCGAGGCCTTTACCTGGGAGTCAGAGGAGGGAGGGAGGGAGAAAATCCCCTACCAACCCAAGTCCAAAGTCACAGTCGCCCCAGAACTGGGGGAGATAGAGTCATTGGGCTGCACTGGGGTGCGTTCTCCAGGGAGACCAGGGGCGGAATTTCTAAGCTGGGGAAAGCATAGATTTTAGGCAGGAAAGAATGGTGGCAGCCATTTTAGGTTCCCTCACAGCAACCTTGATGGTGCTTTCTGTTTCACTTCCCACTGCAGGCTTAGAGAGATGGATGATCAAGCCAAGCAAGAAAGTTCACAGGACAGAGACAGCTCATTTAGTGAATTGAGTCTACCCAGACTGTCAGTCTCCCTGGCCACACAGGAAACAATGGAGACACAAGACGTGGATCCTAGGAAAGATTATAAGACTGAGCTTATGAATTGGTTCAGGAGTGAGATGAGGAGGGAGTTCAAAGAGATGTTGCAGGAAACATTCCAAGGGTCTGCTCCTTCTGGACCTGCCCTAGGAAGCGGTAGAACAACAAAGAGATCCAGACCTAGTGGGGAAAATGAATCCTTAAGCAGTTCTAGATCCACTCCATTGCCCTGAGAGCGCCATGACTCACTGGATTCAGAACAACCCTTTTCTAAAAATTAATTTGCTTTAATTAGCTTCAACAAAGGTTGATAATTTTTCAAGGTGTATAAATAAGCAACTCTGCTTAGCTTGGGGGAGAGTCTTTTGTATGTTTTAGCAATGCTAATGAAAGTAGTTCATAAGCAGAGGGCAAAAAGCATTTTTCTTCTTCTTAGATGACTGAAATAAGAAATTGAAAGATAATGC